GGACTCACACTGTGATCTGATTCACACAGTCACTGCTGAGCTGAAAGCATATCAACTAGAATAGAACATGGAGGTTATACACACTGGATAGAGAGCGTAAACTAACAGATACATTTAACCAGTGTTCTGCAATGTGTAAACAAGGCCATATGTGCTGAATGTTTCCCAGACAGTCCAGCCTCAGATTTAACTACGGTGAAGCACAGATGGGACAATGGGGCATAACAAGGAAGGGCTGGAGCGCCCTTAAGAGGAGGGGTTAGCGATCGTGACAAATAAGGTCAAAACACTGACAGGGAGCACAAGTGCATGAAGCTCCTCCCCATGTCTACATAGGCCTCTTTACGGTCCCGACTTTTTAAGTTTTAAAAAATAAGCACAGCACAAAAATCGAATAGCTTCCACAATGTTTTTATTCATACGACCTCAAGCAAATAATAAAGAAAATTGGCCACATGGGAGAGTCAGAGGAAATCTCAAAGCCAGACAGCACAATGCTGCACCTGAAACAAACTCAGTCGGCTAAGGAAATGAGCAGCTGTCTGCCTGTATGTGCATGAAGGACACCCTGGACTGTTCTTCCCCATCCTGCCAGGCTCTTTAGGCTGAGCCTACATGGGTTTGCGCTTCACCTGTCCACTTTGTGTCACGTGTTTACTTCTTTTTTCCTCAGGGGGGCAGTGCAGAGGAGTGGTCAGGGCACTGGGGCTCTAACTGCAAGGCTGTGAATTTCAGTCCCTCTGCAGACACGACTGTTGTACCCCACTGCTAGGGGAACCCCCGTGATTCAGGGGAAGTCAGGACTGTTAGTGCAGACTAACTCTAACAAACTAAGACTAACTCAATCTGTTAGTGCAGACTAACTGTGAGGAGCCTCTTGGGTTCAGTGTGCACTTCACTTTTCACCCCTTCCTGTGGTCTGGCTCAGCTTCTATAATCAGTGGTGAAAGTAACTTGCAATTTCAGAGAACAGGAGTGCAGACTGCTGTCTCTTTCAGCTGCTGAGCCTCTGAGGACCAAAGCATTCCCCTGCTTCTCAGTATCATCTTTTCAGACTAGAAAATGCACTTGGCTGTGAGGAGCAGCTATCAGGGAGCTGTCAAACTTTGCGCAACTCATTCGTCCCTAGTAGGGACATGCTGCCGACACAGGCTGGAGGACTCAGGACCAGAACAGTACTGTATCCAGGAAGCACCTGTTATACTGAATATTACAAGGGCTCAACACACTGTTACTGAAATCGCTACTGAAATAAAAAAAAAATCATAAAGGAATGCCTGTACCTGCTGAAATAAAACAGAACCAGGCTATTATGTATTATGTAGCTATTATGAAGAGCTTTTTTATATTTTTTATATTTAAAAATATATATATTTAATTTATAATAAATAATAAAGAGCTGTTTAGAAGTTCAATTCACCTGGCAACACCAAATACATCCTCAAAGACCCAAAAAAATGTTAATATTCACAATGTTTTTAATTGGCAGACATTCCAGATACCTACTAGTGTGATACTCAGCAACGTTCATCTGTAAGAAAATCACAGATGTACTAAAACCCCAGGTGTATCCTCCCAATTGAAATGTGTCTGACTGCGTGTCACAATAAAGTGTATGAACCGGTGGAAAAGAACGAACCCTATGCGGAGCTAATAGGAATCCAGTCAGACTTCCAAAGGACGTAGGACGAGGTTCGAGGTCGGGGTAGCCAGGCTATGTCGGGAATCCAGAGGTCGAAGGCAGCCGTGTATCCAAATCCAAAAGACGCGAGACAAAGACGTAGTCGAGGTCGGAGGCAGAGTAGGGTCAGGAATCCAAAGATCGAGGCAGCGAGGTATCCAAATCCGGAAGACGTGAGGCAGCAACGTAGTCGAGGTCGGAGGCAGGGTAAGGTCAGGAATCCAGAAATCGAGGCAGCGAGGTATCCAAATCCAAATAACACGAGTCAGAGATGGAATCGTGGTCAGAAGCAAGCAGGGTATCCAATAATCAGAGACGAAATAAAGCACACAAGAGAAAGTAGAAGGCTATCTCAACAGTGAAAGAGGAGTAAAGGGAGTGAAGGGGTATATATGAGAGAGCGGGGAGTGACGGACTTATTGCTAAAAGCGGCGCAGTTGTGCACGCCGGGAGGTGCAAGCGTGAGTATGTTTCATGACACTGCGGCTTAAACACATCACCTGCGACAAGAGGGAAAACATAGTTGTGGCCATCAGATCATGTCCATATCCCCCAAAACCTTCAGGAATATTCACCTGAAACCCCCCACTGACCTTGTGAGGAAGGATTTCTCTTCATTTCATTGCAATAAGATCCCATAATGGTCAAAGCCAGATGGCACTTATAAAATAACTAAACATCATAGCACAGTAGAAACACAGAGAAATAAAGTAGAGAATAATGCTGTTACAAAGTAGTGTTGAAATAACCAGCAAACCATAGCAGTCTGCAGGAACCCATAGCATAGCATAGAAAATCCAAGGTCTAAGCATGGCTAAACGTAAGTTGTTGTCCCTCCCGAGCGTCAGTTAACAACGACAAATCAATCGAACATAACTGTACCTAACATCATCCATACGGAAATTTTCAAATACCCTGCTTTGTATTAGTCTGCTGCATCCCTCTTCCACCCCATCTCCATCTCACAGTAGCCCCTTGTGTTAAGGAGATAGCAAGGAATGGACCCTGTGCAGATCCAGGGAACTCAAGAGCTGGAAAAACAGAATTAAACAGGGTGTCCAAATATGAGGTCCAAATGAGCAGTAGGTCAAAAGCCAAAAGGTCTTGGAACTAAAAATACCTGAGGGAGAATCCAAAAGTCGTGGTCAAAGACTGTCTCAAGGTGAACAAGAGGTGTAGCTCTCACAGTGAAAACCTAATACTGAGCAGGGGGGGGGACCCATTACCCCCTCTCCTAGGGTGGCTCCTGATGCCCTTGAGGGAAGGTTTGGGAATCTACGATGAAATTCACGGATTAGTGTAGGATCTAGTACTGTATGTCTTTTGCAGGTACCCATTAGCACTCCTCAGGCCAGTAGCCTTACCAGTCAGCTAGATATTGCAAAGATCTGCTGTGCCACCAAGAGTTGAGGGAGGGAGGCCGTCGATTAGACGTGTTGACAACCATATGTAGTGAGCTCGGAGCTGGGGCACTTGGAAAATGTTGATTGGCGGACTTCTTCTGGAGTTGTGAGGTACGTATTGTACCTGTATAAGGGTGGCTTTTG